TTTTTTTGTTTTTACGTTTTTACTTTGAGTAAAAGCAATCTCATTTCCTCGCCTAATTCCAGGGAACGCGAACGTTCCCTTTTTAAGGACAACTGTGTAATTAAATTCGATGATAAATATACGTCGACTCGTGTCGATGTCGAATGAAAAGAAAGGGCTATATGAGAAAATAGTAATCGAAAATAATCGTCCATATCTATATATTCGAATTTGTTGTACATTGAAAAATGTTTGTCCTCGTTGAATGTTCGTTGTAACGCGCCTCCGTTAGAGAACAAGAAATGATCTTTCACTTTCCGCGGTGGAAAAAAAAGATGCGCAATGCAAAACCTGTGTTTCCTTTCTTCGCTCGGCGACGAAGATAAAAAAAAAAAAAAAAAAAAACGTAACTTCTCTTCGCTCGGAATCCGGGGTACAGAATTTCTCTGCGCGGACCGGTGTATTTGACCCTAGATCCAGTCGATCAAATATGTCCCACGTGTCCGCTTTTCTGTACTTATTACTTTTTTCTTTTTTTTTTTAATTGTAACGATTATTATTATTATTTTTCTTTTTTTTTTATTCACACGCGAAGAAAATCAAGTGTCGTGACGTACACGACTTTTCGGAACGTACACGTTTCATAACAATTCCCAATGGAAAAAAAGATTAGTATTACTCGATACGATAGTTTTGTCTATATTTTCTACGTTTTAATATTGTTTTACATGCGTGCAAAACGTCCCTTTAGAAGAATACCACCGTGTCCGATGTATAAGAGATTCCTGAGCTAACAGTACTAATAGTTCGTAATGTCTTTAACGATTATCTTAAGTATTTCTTTTTTTTCTCTCTCTCTCTCTCTCCTCTGTTTTCTTTCTCTTTCTTTTCTTTCTTTTTAAATTATTGACGATCGATGTTGAGAAACATATGAACCTCAATCATATGGTACTTGTACAATGTTATATCTCCGTACGAGTATTTTGTACGATTTTTTATACAACTTTGTACGATCGAACGTGTTGTCTGCAGAAGAATTAACGAAGAAGAAAAAAAAAAAGATGAGAAGCGTTTAACGCTAATTTAAGAGTAAATCCGTGACTCGCGTGTCACCTTTAAATCTTGTTGCTTGCTATTTATTGATTTTAAGAACGATTTCATTTAATGAAATTATGTCATTGTAACGATGGAGTTGTGATCTATGAAAACGTGCAAATGCGAGATATTTTATAGATTTTTTTTTCCTCTCTCTCTTTTCTGTACTATAATGGTATTGTTTTTGAATGACAGCTTTTTACCAGTCATGAGAAGAATTTGTTCTAACTAGCATTTTTCTTTTTTTTTTTTTTTTTTTTAAACCAAAATAGACTAATGTATGTAAAACGACGGTGCAATATGCTACGAAACTGTTTAAAACTTTTATTCGATTATCTCTCTTGTTCTTTGAGCGATTCACAAAACCGTGAAATTGTAAAATGTGAAATTGTCTTTTAGCTCAAGAATCTCCTCATTTTGGCGACGTATTGGTACATATATATATATATATATATATATATATATATATCTTATTTTGTATATTTGTATAATCAACAATGGGGTACAAAAGAATCATCGTAGATCTAATTAAATCAAAGCCGTCACGAAAATTATCTCACTCCAACGATTCTTTTTTTCTTTTTTGTTTTGATATATATATATATATATATATACATATACATATATATATTTTTTGTTATTTGTATGATTGATTTTACATAGAGTATAGAGAGTTACAGTTGAATGCAATGATGAATATGCGGACTAAACGAAAGGGAGGATTTAACTTTAATCAAGAGAGAGAGTTGTACATAATATTATTATATATAATCCCAGCTAAGATCAAAAGAAATACCGATTCGTGATTTTAATTGTTTAAAATAGTAATCGAAGTCGACTGGTTCTAGGGTCGAACAACCAAGGTGTTAATATTAAATTAGTTAGAATCCTGAATTCTGAGAGGAGGAATAACGTTATACGCCCTGGAAGCCGAAGAAAAAATAACTCGTCGGCGATAAACGGAGCCTTAGCGGAGCCTATTACGTTTGTACAGAGAAGAGGAAAGCCAAGCAGAATCGTTTACTTTCGAATCGTTTCTTACTTACGCTAAACATAGGAAGGAAAAAAAATAAAAAATAAAAAAACCGATAACGATGAATTTTGTCATAATTCGTTGCACGTGTCCGCGCGTGAAAGAAACAAAAAGCGCGGATACATACAACGATTCAGAACACATACGTACATATATAAATATATAAATATATAAATAGTTTTATTATATTGCAAAGTGAAATAATACAATATTTAGCTACTGTATATAATGTAAAAGAAAAGCTGGTCTTGTAAGATACGGATTAAGGTGTTTTAATGTGCACATAGCCGCGTCATTGTCAATAATCATATTATTACGATTAATAATAATTACAGTTTTTTAAAAAAAAAAAAGAAGATAAATGTTGTTGAATCCCATTTTGTTTGATCTTTTAACCTCCTTTGCGAAAGTGTCTGCTGAAATTTTTTTTGAAAGGTGTTTGAAATATCCGGTGTTATGTAACTTTGTCTACTTCCACCAGAGAGCGCTAAGAGATCATTTCAATATCTTTGGGTGATAGGTCATCGAATCGTTGTTTCGGTCATAGCTTGATGCATTAAACGACAATTGTTTTACGAAAGATTCTTCTGTACGATTTCTACGTCAATTCATAAACTGTAACAAAATGAAACCTACTCTTGTAGCAGATGAAATGTTCCCAGAAGGTGCTGGATCTTACATCGAGTTAGAAGAGGTATATCGCAGATGAATAAGGTTATGTTTACTTCGGAATGTTTTTGTAGATAATTGTTATGTTTTTTTTTCAATTTTATATTTACAATTATGAATTTGTCAAAATTACTCTAGGTCGGGGGTAGTCGTTTATTGGTTGATTTAACTGCAAGTGAAAAGGCAGTGCACGCGGAGTTTTTCAATGGTAAACATTTTCATTCAAAATTAATCAATGCTGCTAATGTGACAAGTGCTATATATCTGTATGAATAATTACTCTTTTCTTTTAGATTTTGATGATTTATACGACGACGATGATCTTGAATAAAATTTCATAATTTTAGTAATGGCAATGATTGCACTAGTTACAATAATAAAAGGAAGAGAAACAACTTATGAAACTTTTCAATACAAAATATTTTCAGATATATAGAAATTGAAGTAAAAAACACGAGACATTTGTTTTTATAATTGCTTATGATAAATCTATCTTCATCTTTTATTTGAACTGACCAGATAACAATAACAGATTTACATAATACATATACGTGATCGTTATAAACAATTATAAAAACTAGAATTAAAATAATTTCCCTTATATTATATATCTATAAATTGTGTTCTGCTATATCAATTTATAGCCAAAAGTCAAGCAACAAAAGTGTGTCCATTAAGTGTGTGAGAAAGCAATTAAATACATAAAGGTAAAGAAAATTGATATACACAGTGCGATAACATTATTACAATTTATTATTTTTAGTTCGAAATTGAATCGAATGTGCGCCCGTTTATCCAGAATACCATTTTATCTCGGTATATTAGCTCGGGCGATATTAATTATAAACGTGCCATAAGAAAATGAGTACTGGTCATAATGTCTCGTACACATTAATATCGATATCATTGTAAAGATTATAATTTACAATACATAGATGCTAGTCATATAAACCTGTTAAGATGATGCACAATTAAAATAGCACCCCCGGTTTCAGTCGCGCCGCATAATCGTGGATCCTATCGATCGTCATGCATCGAGAGTCTCCTTTCTCAAACGAGACGTTCTGAAGCTTTTTTGTGTTTTATCCCTACGCGATTTGTTTCTTGCTTTTTTTTCTTATTTCTCCTTGGCCCCAATCGACATTTAATTCACTTTTTGACCATCCTCATTTTTCATTAACAGACTTTTATTAACGGTGACAACGAGGTTCCGTACTTGAGAAACCATCGACTACCGTTACTCGTTCGCATCTTGATTGCGCACAAGAATGACATTTTCGAGAGCGATATCGATAACGACCATGTCGAATACGCTGCTAACAGTGACAAGTATCCTGCGAAATGTACGTTTTTCATTGTTTCATGTGTTGAAAAGATTCCAAATTTAAATCCATACCATTGTAAATTACTCACCCTGAGTCCAGCCCCGAGAACATCGTTCGGAGTGCTAGTTAACTTCGAGATCACTATCGGCTTGGTCGTCTTGATCACTTTCTTCTTCCTCGTCTTCTTCCTCGGAATAATACTGCGAGGGTGGCGATAAAACATCCTCTGAAAGCGAAGTATGAGAAGATGAAGGAGGTCGAGAGCCTTCCAATTTTGTGTCCAGGTCTTCCATTGAGGTACTTGGTCCAGGAATGGTCACTGGGATAAACTTTTCCAAATCACCAGATGCTAGCTCTGAAATGGAACATCAGAGTGTAAAATTTGATACCAGATAGAGTATGAAACAACGATGTGAGAACTTGTTTCAACGTGTGAAACATACGTACGTTCCACGTATTTTTCCAGAGATTTTGGAACCATTAATTTAGCCTTCCGCAAGTTTTCCTCTGTGCATTCGCCCTTCTCTAAACCTGTTCAAACATCATTTCTCTTTAATTAACTAGACTGATAGATCCAAAGGAAAATATTAAATGAATTATTTACCGAAAGCTAAACCCATTTGCTTTAGAACTTCAATATCGTCATGAATTTCGAACTTATCGTTAAAATTGAACAGGTACTCGGTTCTGTAACAAATATCATTTGACGAAAATATAGTAAACATCGACAGCAAATTCTACGAATTTTCACTTATTTTCATCGTCATACTTGTCATTTGAAATGCTGCAATCTATGACAGTCTTTTTGCTAGTATTCACAATCAGGAATGGCAGCTGTATGGCAGAATTTGGTTTTGGTGGGCCACGCAGACTCTCATTGGCACGATTACGTTCCACCAAATTTTTAAAGGAGATATGCGAGAGAATCAATTGATGCAATTGTTGTGTCTTTGCTTTAATCCTCTCGATTTTCTTCTTTTTATCTTTCTCAAGTGCCAGACATTCCTGAAGAGAATTGGTTGGCAAACCTAACCACCTGATTTCTTTCTTTTCTTTTGAAATAATATTCATTGCCATTAAAACGTTCAAAGCATCATAGACACGTCTTCTAATATTTTTCTGATCATATTGCTATAAGACAAAAAATAAAACATCATTTTTGTTTGTACTGCTTTAAAAATGGGGAGAAACGAGTCAAATTATATACCTGATCTGTCAAAGAATTTATATGAGCAGGATTAGTAAATTCTCCAACAAGTTCATCCGCAACCTCGTTGTACGATGTCGTTCCCTTCTTTTTGACTTTTTCGCAAACTTTCATCGAAAAATGACGTAATCCCTTACCTACTTTTTCCGTTTTTCTTCGTTTGCTATCAAGAACAGTATAAAACATTAATTATAAATATAAGCACAAATAAAATATTCCATTAAAATGGATGAATCCTTACTCTGGTACAAAATCACCACCCTCAACATCTTGTCTTTTTCTAGAACCACTGTGATCCAATATTGGACTGATGTATGTTTTCCCACTTGCATCTTTCACAACTTGTTGATTACTGGATTGTTGTTGTTGCTGTTGTTGCTGCTGCTGAGATACTATTGCCTGTTTTATATCGCTCTGCACAACGTAATAAACAATTTTTAACGAATTCAAATTTCTGAAAGATAACTCGCTTAAACAAAGCATACCATTTGTGCAGATGTTAATTGTATAGTTTTGGTCAGTACAGGTTCACCAGCCTTGGTTGTTGCCAATTTTGTGTTCTGTAATGGTATTGTAACCAACCCTAGAATAATTATGAACAAAGCATTATTTTATTTCAGAATTAAATGATTAGATATTACATCAAGTAAACAGAATGTCCATTTCAACAGTGTTAGGTAATTGTCTTTCAAAATATTCGTTATTTGAAAAAATATTTTAAATTAATTTGCTATCTCGTTTGATATCTAAAATATTTTATGATGGATACAAATCTTGTCTAATTGGATGCATCTCCAGAGATTGCAAGGAAATTTTTATTTTTTAAAATAAAATATAACACATTACAAGACAAATTCATTGAACTGTAATATTTATTAGTCTTTCATTCTCATTTAGAAATGTCTTCTATGAACATCCACAAAACTTTCCTTGCCTTTAAGTGACCTTAACCTTGAAAGATCAACATACTACTACGTATCAACAGATTTATCTTACAGTGAATTATGTATCTAACTGAACAAAATATAATGAATACAAACTTCATTCAAAAAAGAAAAACACATTCAACTAGACAAAATTTATATCCATTATAAGATATCCTTTGGAAACAGAGTAAATTGTACTTGAGATATTTGTTTCATGTAATCAACACTTTAGGTAAAAGAGTTCAAGAAAAAATCTCTCTATATATAAGTAAAAATTTATATTAACAGTATTGAACATACATCATTGAAAAGAGAAAACACATAAAGAAAATATAATGTACAGGAATAATTGTCGAAGAAATTACTCACTTTGGCCAGGAGTTGAAGGACTCTGCAGACTGATAGTTCTAAGAACTTGTGCGTTAGATGACAAAACCTAAATATTAAAGACATCATTGAATTCAATGTTGAAATATAAAACTGAATTATTTTTATATAAATATTAATAAATTTTATATAAATATTAATAAAAATCAAATGACAAATAAAATTATTATAAATATATTATACCTGAGATTCTTGGCTCGGAGTCTTAAAGACTTTAAGGCCACCTGCATTTGTTGTACTGACGATACCACCCAATGCCTTATTGGCTGTACTTTGCACTACTTTTATTACTTGTGGATGACCTAAGATAATTAAGTTTTTTATTATTATTCTAATAGTCAAACAAGCAAGAAAGAAAGATAGAAAGAATCCAACATTAATATATGAATTCTTTCCAAGTTCAACAGTCGAATACTATAAGTGTAATATTACAACATCAAACAATAAAATGAATATGATAATTAATGAAAAATTTAAATATTTGACAAACTCAAACATCAAATACTGATGACCTAACAAAGACTTCTCAAGTTAGTACATCTTAATAACATTAAATAGAATCTTCAAACTTGACTACAGATATTAAAAAGCAAAGGTGATTTTTTTGACTGATCAAACAAGAGAAGCAAATACATTTCTATACAATCCAAGATGAAACGATTCGGAAGTAAATTAAGTTCTGTCTGTTTGGTAACGGAAAATAAAATAAAAATATCTTTCTATAAATTCGATACAGATATAGTTTGTAAAGGAACAGCACAAGACCAAGAAGAGCGTGGAAAAAGGAGAGTCAACATAGAATTGTAATTGGCAAGGGGCAAACAAAAAATGACAGGAATACAAGCATAGATCCAGGAACCGGGCGACAAACGCGAGACCAAGCGATCTTGAAGAAAATGAATGAAAATTAAGACATTATTGCCGAGGCAAGGCATGCTGATAATTGGCGCGCACTCGGCATACTCACCGTTCGCGTCATGTATGAGAAAGTTCATCGTTTTGTTTTGTTGCGTCATCCTCGAGGTTAGAATTCCGTCCCGGCGTCACCGACGATCACGACGATCGACCGAATGCCGAGTGAAAATAAAAAGATCATAGGTACACTCGCTAATCTTGGCTCGGTCTATCACCAAAATGGCGACTATGATATAGAACCATTTGAGGACAGAATTCAACGATATACCAATCAAAGAACGGTTCTACGGTACGCGTGAAAGTGAAAGCTACCTGTTTCTTTATTGTACTAACGCAACCATTCAATAAGAACGCTCGTTTACTTGGAAAAATATCGCACGAAAATCTAGCTTCCGCGTGCACAGTACAGAATAGAGACGAGCTTGGCGGCACGACAAAGTTAAACAGCTGATTGGTTGATTTCCCAGTCACGTGGCCCCTTCTGTTCCACGTTTATGGGCACTGTAATATCTGCAAGAAAAACCTGTTTCTAGTGCTACAAAATGCCAAACACCGTTGCCGGGATTTTGCTTTTCAAATTGGCAATGGCCCGTTTGTCGATACTTGTCCAATAAATGTTTTGAACCATAAACGCGTAGTAAATTAAAAAGGACACGTAATACGTTGCACAGTTGACTGTCACATCTATACACAATGATTAATTTCACTTGAATATTTTCTGTTTTTCCTTTTCAAAGTTTCCAATACATAAAAGTTTAAGAGTAATTGTTATTTTTTAAAGCAGAATTTCGTAGAATATCATACTCGATTGTTAATTAAATATAAATAAATTCAAAATTGAGGTAAGTATATTTTATACATTTTCAAGAAAATGTACCATCAAAATTTATACTCTGTTCGTTTAAAATGAATAAATACGTTGTGAAGGGTAAGAAATTTTCGCGCCATGATTCAATATACATATATACGTGTTACGTACGAAGTAATCCTAAGAAAATTTCTAACAATATTAAATGCTCAGAGTAATTGTGTAGTTTAAAATAACGTCAAACGTTTTTGGAATTTCTCACGACTGATTAATTCTTCAATGTATTTTTCGTTTCTTTTTCCTCAGAAAAATTATTTAACTACGTATAGCTGGAAGAAAATAGAATAAAAATTAGTTCATTCAAACAACAAGATCACGTATCAATTAAACGAATTGAAACGCGATTTTATTTTCAAAGCCTTCCAATTGGTTGAAATGAAAGTTTCTAGATAGCCAAGACCAATAATGTTTTTGCAGATTCGGCGTTAGTCGTGAAAGAATTTTGATAAGAGACGTCACACAGAATCGTGCAATTAGTCAAAAGTTTTTCAAAGATAAATAATTTATTTGCAGCGTTTCCTTTAAAGAAAGCTGTATTGCATTTGCACGGAATCGGAGTCTGTTTGTCAATACAATCGTCAGGATACAGTAACTCGTGTTTTCAATACAAAAATATTGAATTGAAAAATAGTTGCCTTATATGTGTGCTTTTAAAAGAATCGCATAGAATACTTTGAACCGAGGCTGAGGGTTCGTTCAGAGTCTGGCTGAATGGTAAGATTATTTTAAGGCTTTCGCAAGGCGATTGAAACGCTCAGGTTAAACGTTTTATTATCTTTATCGACGAACTCTCATCCCATTGCAAGTCGCAACTCGATCTCTGGTTTCTTTCGAATTTTCGTATCATATCATTCATCCTTTCTACAAACATACATAAAAATTTTATGTCGCTCTGTTGATCTCTCTCTTTCTTCTTTTTTTTTCTACCTGAATCTTTCTGTCGTCATTGTATCGTTGATCGACATGATACACGACCTCCATTTTTGTTGCAACTATTTCATTCGGCATATTTCTTGCAGTGTTTCCCCGATCCAATAAGTGATTTTTTTTCAAATCACTTCACGGATTTTGACTTCACGAGAGTCAGATCTTTTAGGTTAAATCGAATGTGCATTTTCGAAATAATAGAACAGGCACGAATTAGTATTTATAAAATCATGTTTGATAATAATAGGTCGTAGCCTGTAACAAATTTGACATTTACAACTATAGATATAACCTGAAGAAATATGTTCAGCGTAATTTATTGCGAATCCTCTGACATACATGAATAAAATATTTAATGGGAATACATGTTGCGAAAAATATCCTTGCATAAACGTATATACGAAAATTAGGATATAATTCTGTGATATGAACAATTCTATGCATAATCTTTTTTAATTCAAGATTTGGAGCAATTTACTATTGCAGCGATTAAATCACGTAATTTTTTTAGTCTGAATTTTACAAAATGTTACCATTCAGTTCAGTTTCATTGTATTCCGTTGAAATTGCATTTTTCAAATGGATTCTTTGTTTTTGAATTTATGCAATAGTTATGTATTTTGATAGTTTAATACTTTTATACCATAGTAGTACATATTATCTAATTATATTAATTACAGTTTATATAATCTATTTACCAAAGTAAGAGACCTAACATATTTTTTGTTGTTTCTATATATTCCACAAGGTCTGTACATTGTGAAAAACATGCCTCTGTTCGGAAAATCTCAAAAGAGTCCGGCGGAGGTGGTGAAAGCCCTTAAGGAGGCAGTAAATGCATTGGAACGTGGTGATAAGAAGGTAGAAAAGGTATGTTGTGAGGCTATATTTCGGTTTCTATGACGCAATACGTTAATTTTTAGGCACAAGAGGATGTCAGTAAAAATTTGGTACATATAAAAAACATGCTTTATGGGACAGCTGAGACAGAGCCTCAAGCAGATATTGTTGTTGCCCAATTGGCACAAGAATTGTATAATAGTAATTTGTTGCTTTTACTTGTGCAAAATCTTAGCCGCATAGATTTTGAGGTAAGTCCAAACATTTACAATATAATTAAAACATATTATGAATAAAATATGGATTATGAAATAATTTTCCAACTCCTAAAAATTTCCAATTTTTGTCTGTATTTTAAGCTATACCTTTATATATTTAGTAATGTGATATATTTCATCAGGGAAAGAAAGATGTTGCTCAAGTATTTAATAATATATTACGGAGACAAATTGGTACCAGATCTCCAACAGTAGAATATATATGTACTAAACCAGAAATATTGTTCACTCTTATGTCTGGGTAAGTTTTTTTTTTTTTATTTCGTAAAGTGTAATATTTTTGAAATATTGTAATTTATGAGTATAATAATTGCAGATATGAACACCAAGACATTGCTTTAAACTGTGGCACTATGTTAAGAGAATGTGCAAGATATGAGGCCTTGGCAAAAATCATGATCTATTCGGACGACTTTTACAATTTTTTCAGATACGTTGAAGTTTCAACTTTCGACATAGCTTCCGACGCGTTTTCTACGTTCAAAGTAAGCGATGATAAGCGCATGATATATCGTACTTAAAGTAAAGCATACTCTTGGTGTATCCGGTACGTTGATTTTTAGGAATTACTTACCAGGCATAAAATACTGAGCGCTGAATTTTTAGAAATTAATTACGATAAAGTTTTCTCTCATTATCAAAGGTTATTGAATTCAGAAAACTATGTTACGCGACGACAAAGTTTGAAACTGCTAGGGGAACTTTTACTCGATAGACACAATTTTACTGTATGTATAATTATTAAATAATAATTTTTTTACACGCATACATGTACATACATTTTCAAGAACACGTTAACGTGACAATCTTCATATTTTAGGTAATGACACGATACATTTCAAATCCTGATAATTTGAAACTCATGATGAATATGCTCAAAGAAAAGTCACGTAATATTCAGTTTGAAGCGTTTCACGTTTTCAAGGTATATTTACGTTATTCAGTAATCGTTATTGTTAATTAGATGTAAGAAATAACCAGAAAAATTTATTTACAACTTGTTAGGTGTTCGTGGCGAATCCAAATAAACCGAAACCAATCTTAGATATATTATTGCGCAACCAGGAAAAGTTAATCGAATTTCTGACGCGCTTCCACACTGATCGTTCCGAAGACGAACAGTTCAATGATGAGAAGGCGTATCTTATTAAACAGATTAAAGAACTTAAGTCTGTACATGAGAATTAAGTCCAAAATACAAGTTATTGCTACAGCTACCGTTAACTACTACTATTGAAGTCTATTCAGCTGCTGTTGCTACTGTTACACCATCACAGTCACTGATGTAGCGATCTACCATTATTTTCTTCCTATCTTTCTATCTTTTACTGTCCCTTTCTTTCACTTGTTATAGTTATCGTTGATCGATTCATAACGATTCGATTATTATTATTATTATTATTAATTATTATTATTATGATTAATAATTATTATTATTATTATCGCTATTACTTTTATTTGCGAGTAGTTCTGTAAATAAAGTTTTCGTTTAATTATGCATTATTGTATATTAACATAAAGCGATTTTATGCCACTTTCATATATTTCCACTGAATATTCAATTAAAGTAAATAACATTTAGAAGGAAAATATTACTTCGTGAAAGTAATTATTGTATTATTTGATGCTATCGTTATCGTGTTGCCTAATATTTTTTGTATTAAAGTTAATGTATTTTATATCGTAAAATATTGTTCAAGAGGCTAACAAATTTAATGTTTTAATTCAGAAATTTATAGAGATGTGAAAAAGACAAAGACTGTATTCATTATTGAAATTTCATAATTATTAAGTTACACGTTCGTCACGTTTGATAAACGGCATTATTGAAAATTACAGTGTTAATGAAGAAATTGAGGTATATATTTTTAATTAGGAAAGAACACGTTTGAACAGTAGGGGGCATCACATGGTATTTTGTGACAGCAATATCATGGCGGTCAGTTTAGGCTAGGCAATAGTGATCAGTATTGGTCAGAAAATCTACTATTTGTGTTAAGATTTTAATATTAATTTAATGAAATGAGTTAATATTTACTTGTAAATACGTAGCAACTTGGTGTTTCAGTGCAATTGTAGAATAAAAAGACTTAAACTTAAATGGAATTAACGAAAATTGAATTGAATTTGTATAATGTAAATTCAATGAAGAACGAAATTACATGAACCTCGTTCTAAGTCTGTGACGATAGCTGATATATTTGCTAGTAAAGAGTATGGAATAAATAAAAATGTTTGTAAAAGACCCCTGTGGGATCGTGTGTATCATAATTACGTATGTTGCTGTCTTCTATGCAGATTACGTCGTCGTACGTTGGGTTATCCTGCATAGTTTGCAAGACAGGTGCATTTAACAATATTCTATATCTATAACTTCTATTTATTCGTAGTTTTTATATTTATTTGTACGAAGTTGATTTTGCATAAATTTTATACCGATATGGATATGTGTACTTTCATCTCTTAATATTTTGATTTAACTTAATAAAATATTGTTAATGGGATGTATTTTTCCCTTTTTTTCATTTTATTACATTATCGCACTTCTCTTGTAATTACAAGTACAACTTCAAGAAATGCACTTGCAATAACTATTTACCATTTAAATTTGTGATTAATCTTATTTTGTATATTATTATGTACAGTTTGTGGGGTGCCTTTCATGTTGTGGCTTTCAACACTATTGTATTATTATTGATAATGTCACATTTGAAAGCAGTCTGCAGTGATCCTGGTGTTGTGCCACTACTCCAAAGTCGTATGGACTTTTCTGACATTCATACAGATAATCCAGAAACAAAAATTGAATGTGATGAAAGAGACAGTTGGACTGTTTGTACTAGATGCGAAACGTATAGACCTCCTAAAGCATGTCATTGTAGAATTTGTAAACGATGTGTTAGGAGAATGGATCATCATTGTCCATGGTATGCTATAATTTATAGGAATATCAAGAGTATTTATAACTTTAGAGCTTTAAATGAGATATTAAACTTTCTTACAAATTATGCAATTTATAACTACATTAATAATGGACTTTCATTTATTTATCTTTAATTATAATCTAGTTTTTAACTTTTAATTTATTATACTTTTATTATTTCGGTATGATAATATTAGGTAAATTTTCATTTCATACTATAATTTTTAGTAAATATCTTTTTATCAAATATTCACTAGTATGTTAAAAATGACATTATAATGACAACAAACTTTTGGTTTATGTACTTTAATGACATTCTTCTTTAACATTAAACATAATTTGTAATGTTGCTCAAAGGATAAACAACTGTGTTGGAGAACAAAATCAAAAGTACTTTATTCAATTTCTGGTCTATGTTGGAATATTGGCCTTCTATGCACTAGGCTTGGTGATAACTTCATGGATTTTAGAATGTTCTCGGTGCAGTAACGATATAGCTGTCAAACAGAGTCGCATGTACGTGTACCTCAAATATTTATTTTTTATTTAAAATAATAATTTTAATTCTAGTTACATTTCATTTTATACCAAAGTTTTATTAATAGATAAAAAGCATTCTGAAAGAAGATTAAACAATCAATAATCTTTTCTTATATGATATTTAAATTTGCATATAAAGTTTGCTTAAATCTAAAGGTTATTTAATATATAAACAGGAATATGTTGTCAGAAAAACAATGATATTAATCAAAAAGTTTTTTCTGCAGCTTACACTGTGTTATATTGGTATTGGAATCAGCACTGTTTGGCATGTTTGTCATCGCAATGCTGGTAGACCAATTTCAAGGTATCCTGGGAGAAGAAAACATAATGGAATATATGCAGAATAATCATCATTATAAAAGAAACAGTTCACGTACATTGGTTTTACTTTCTCAGGTTTGTGGTAAGAGTCATCCAATTTTATGGATGTTCCCTTGCCAAAACCCGCCGCGTTATACTTTCCGAAAAGATGCGTACCTGATAGATCACGAAGTTTAGATAAATACTTAATCGCATATTGAGATACGAATGCTTTCTTATGGCTTTGCTTGCCATAAATATTTTTTTATACGTTTAAAAAAAGTTTCCATTATTTAAATGCAATTTCTTTGGAAAAAGGAGATATTGTATGTTATAAAATTTGGAAAATGAAAAGGAAAGACTCTTATGTTATAATTGTTTAATTAAAATACTTAGGGGTTATTAAAAATTTTTTGTTTTTATTTCAAATTAAAAAACTTGCAGCATTTAAATTTTTTACTTTTTTTATTTTTTAGTAAAATTCTTTTTTAAACAATTTTATTAAGTTACAAATATAAAAAAAAAAACAATATAGAAAGGAAGACATTTTAAATTTTTATTTTACAAATTTTATATTATTACTGCTGAATTGTTATTTAATTCTTATTAGATTATATCCAAGTATATTTCAAGATAAATTATTAAACTAATATATTTTTTTAATATTTGTTCACGAGTCATTCCATAACACATTAATTAAGTCTAAATATACTTGCAAATTTAATACTCAAGTATTATTAAATATATTGAATGTAATATTAATAAATGACTATTTAACAAAATCTTAGTAAAGCTTGCAGGATTGCGCATGTAATCGAATTTGTCAGTATATCTTTCATAAAAATTTTGTGAATGCATATATTTTATGAAATATTCCAGTATATTTACAAAATTCAATACTACTCTTCAATTCAATAATACTAGTCTCCGATTTTTTGAAAATATTAATAAAACTCATTTGTATTTAGATTGTGCAAAATGTATATCTTTTTTATATTTATATGAAATCAGTATATATAAAAAAAAGTATTATTTTTATTCAAAAAAATTTATTGAAGATATTTTTTAAAGACAAGCAGCCATTAAACCAGCGACATTTTCGAAGTCTATTTTTTCTGTAATATTTTTTGTTTTAATATTTTCATCCTGATTAGCGATAAAAATAATTGATTTACTTTCTTCTTTCCATCCATATTTTTTTACCCAATGTTTTAATGTGGTATCTGAAATAAATTGTTTCATTAGTAAATTTGTATTTATACAATGTTTTAAAATAGTCTAATAATTTATACTTAAAAAGAAAATTCTTAAATTTGTATAAATATTATATAATACTGATAAGTAAAACATATTTGATTCATTGTGTTTAGTTTATAAATTCGTATTAAGTTATCTCAATGGATTTGTTATTTAAAATAATTATTTTACCTGACATGCTGTTTTTTTGACAGAATATTGTTTTGTAAATATTTTTATAATTCTTTTCTAACATATTGAAAATATATAGAAATGTAACTTTACCATCAACACCTCCAAGAAGTTGTGCTAAAAGATTTTTATCTATTGTTTGAAATGTAATTCCTACTACATGGCAAACAAATTTTCTTATAGAATCTTGAAATCCTACAATTCTGTCACAAAGATCGGACATAGAAAGAACTCTATCCCAAAAATGTTGGAAGTTACACTGTTCTAAAATGTCTCCCAAATACATGATTTGATTAATAGGACTTTCTTGCATCTGTAAAAAATTGTACATTTATTAATCAACTTATGTATTAATTATAAAAGGTAGATGACTAGCAAAATATTTATGTAAAAAATGTAAATGAGAAATTACATATATTTTATATGAAATAATGTTTTATTACGTATATTTGAGTTTTTTAATTAAGGTTATGCTTGATTAATATTATAATCGTAAATAAAAACATATTAATATTAAATATATTTTTGATAAGAACATAACAACCAAATTGATAACTTACAATTCGTTCGCTGAGAAGGCATTTACAAAGTACGAAATCGGTATGAGGAAGATTTGTTAGAGCTTTCAACAATATTTGACAAGTGATATCCATGTTAAATCTATGTGGATTCAATTGATACAGTTTCAAGACTGCCAAATTAGCCTCCAAGTCATACGCATTCTCTCTTGATTGTATTTCAACATATTTTTCTAAAGTTGCTAAATGATCTGGATTATATCTGAAATTTTTGATCTTCAATTAAAATACAAAAAAAGATATGTACTAATATTTGATTTTATGTATGATTGTAAGGTACTCTTCACAATAATAATATGAATAAAATTTTATGGTAAAATCATTGCCAATAATTAAAGTTTGAAAAAAAAATATATTAAATTTTCAAGAGTATTATTCTGTATCATTAAAATAAACCACGCATAGAAGAATGAACTAAACTATACTTTCAAACAACGAATAATGCACCTTTCAATGCCTTTTAACATTCCAGCTACGGTTTGTCGCATCGCTTCGGCCATTGTTACAAGATTATTCCCTTAATCACTTATCACAACTTAAATAGCAGATTGTTTCTTAATTTGTCTAAAATATATTCTACTAGGTTAGGAAATGTAATCTCATTCACACGATATGACAGAGATCCCACAAGGTTGCCAAATTTGATAACATAAACTAATACCAACCTACACGCATACTTTCAGAAAAGAAAATTCACCTGCTCCATTTCAATTTTGAACACGAGAAGCAATAGTAAAGCCATTTCTCTGCACATAACAATATTACATTTTCACACGCGTATAAATACGTCAGTATATTTGTATTATATACATTAAATCAAGCAACTCTTTCAAGTTGTTAACGAATCACTTATCGTTTGTATGAAGCTTTTCATTTTTACATTACAGTTGAAAGAAGAATTTAGCATGCATGTTCATGTTAAGTCAATGCTCCTTTAAAAGGTATGAATTTAATTAAGGAACGTTCTTACGATCGATATTTCTAAATGTTATACTTCCGAATTTTATATATAATCAGCATTTGTGTGTATTTGCCATTTTCATCATCTGTATTTTATTTCTATATTGTACATTGGAGGTTTCAACGTGCTTCGCCTGAAATCGAAGGTGGTTCGATTTGTAAAAAAAAAAAAAAAAAAAAAAAAAAAGACAGCGAAGACAGAAGAATTTCGAATGACTAATGACGGCCGCGTGTGTCGGCGTCGCGTCTATTCTTCTTCGTGGTATTCTCTCCACGCGATGGTGAACACGAGCGCCTCGTGTCGTGCCCTGTTGTTGTTCAGGGTGCAAGCCTAGAGGAGAGTCCTCGTGAAGAAGATTGCTTTCCTCTTCGTCGTTTTCCAGCCGTGCCACCGTCGCGCCGCGTTGGTACTCTATTAGGTGACGCTTTATGTTCGTGGGTTCTTAGGTTGATGCATGGATTGCAAGTCCGGAGGGAATCGCGTGCGCTGAGAAAGAGAGGATTCGCATGTACCGAGACGTGTGCAAATCGGACGTGTGTGAATTTCGTTCGAAATTTATTGTACTGTAGGCTTGCGAAATTATGTTAAATGAAATTGTTCTCCTTTATTTTTTTTTTTTGTTTTTTTTGGGGGGGGGGAGGGGTCAATATTGGGACCGTGAACAGTTGCAGACGACGAAATCGTCATTTCGTGAGTTGCAGTGTAATTGTAATACTACGTCTATCGTAATTGCGCCGACAACAAAATATATGTAATTAAACCTTCAAGTTTTCTTTCGTAGTCGCAGCATAAAGAAGAGATCGTAATTTTATGATGAATCTCTTTATCTTTATCGTGATCTAGGTGAACAGAATACTGATGAAAGAATATATTAAACGATACCTTGAAATTATTCTCGTTCATAATCACAGTGTTAAAATAACAATAATAAAAAATGCAGACGACGAATGAAATCGTAATTTGTAGAATATTGTATTCATTATGATCACGGTCGTGTCAGATTCTCTGTATTTTATAAAATTGAAGAATCTAGACGAACAAAATGGCGACGAAAAAAAAAAATATATTAAACGAGATACTTGAAATTTTTTTCTATCACAGCCGCAGTGTTAAGATGAAAAAGTGGCAGAGAAATTGATACATGTAACGAATAAAATCGTCGACTTTGTGATGAATTCGAACTGCCAATTCGTAATTAATTGCTGGAATTCAGACACATGCGGGAAGTATGTTCGGGATTTCTGATAAAAATAAGCGGCGCGTGTGCTTATTGGCGTTCGGTGCGATTAATTCAGCGAGCGAAAGGATTTCCTTTTCGATTCGTGTTTCGTTTGTTTCCACGTTGCGTTCGATGATTGTTACAACGCGTATATGTAAATTTCGCGCGAGTAGAACGCACGCGTGTAATATTGGAAAGAACGAGAACGAGAGAAAGAGAAAGAGGAAGAAGGAGAAAAAAAAGAAGAGAATACAGGATTGTAGTTTTCTGCCAGTCTGTAATGGAATATCGCCGAGCTCTCTCTATGAATAGTTATGGCTTGTTTCGCATAAATTAGACTGGTAGGAATTAATAGCTAATTCACCAGCTTTTCAATTATCGTCGAAGCGAGAATTCAGTAGTACGTGGAGCTTATAAATATGGAGAGGAAACATTGTTGCTCCCAAATGAATGCAAATTTTACGGAAATAACAACTAATTTTCTTCACGACACTGAATCTCCGTTAATTCGTTCTTTCTTCACCCTTTTGTCTTTTCTTACTCGGCCGAAGATCTTTAGAAAGATTTTCGAATTTTTCTTTGGCTCTCAGTAGGCCCTCCTGGTGGTTTTCGTTCGCAATTTTTCCAATTTCTCTAGTACAACTTTGATTCTGCAAGGAAATCATCAAAATTATCATAAATTACTTTGTTCAGAAATTCGGAAATGAGTAGTCGTTCTCCGTAGAAACATTCCTGAATTACAATTTATAATTTTTTCTTTGAAAATTAAATAAACTCTATAAATTCCCCCAAACGTTAATCCTCCGAGAATTTGATCCGCATTAAAGTATCGTACCGATAATCCGACGTTCTTAAGGTGTTTTCCTACTGGACATACTTAATTAGTTTTCCTGTATTGCAGTTCCTTATAAATGAGACAACGTATTATACATTTTGAAAAATGAACGTATTCTTAATTTTAATATTAAAACTTTCAATAATTTTAACAACATTTGAAAGATTAATCTCCCAAAGTAATAACAAAAAAAAAAAAAAAAAACGGAAAAAAGAAAAAAAAGATGTGACCCGCAAAGTAATTCTTAATGCGGTTCCCGCGCCACTTCCCGCACATCCTCCGGTCATTGGGGATGCTCCCCTCTGCCGTGCTGACCGTTAACGAGCAATCAAACCGCGCGTGCACGCGCGCGCATGCAAGGTACAAGAATTAGTTACGCAAAAAAATTTCCTGTTTCGCGAAAAGAATTGCAGGACACGTGAGGGCCACGTCACACGCCGGATCGTCGTCCTTGGAGGTCGAAAAGAGATCATTCCTATCAAACTTGTTCCGCGAGAAACTCTCGCCGCTACTAATTTCATCTTTCAGGCCAGCAAACGTATTGCACGACTGTCTCAAGACGTTTCGAACGTTTTCTTCTTCTTTTTTTTTTTTTTTTTTAGGTAGCTCTGTTCAATTTCCATAGATCGAGGAGTGATCTTTATCCATTCGGCAGATGCCTCGGGATTTGTGTGAGTTAATGTCGATCATCCTGATGATCTATATTACGGAGTGTACCCAGAACGGATGTAGCGATAGATCGGTGTCACGTGAACCCTCCGGATATACTAGCTTCCTAGTCTTGCTCACCTACTTTGTCGCGCTCTTTCATTTCGCTCAGAAAGCGCAGAAACTTGCTCGTTTTCACGGGTGGCGAGGGCAACGACAAAGGTGATAAACGCGATAAACGGGGGAAAATTCGGCCAGCTGCTCGAAATCGCCACGCTTCCGCAAAATGTGAAAAAATTGTGGAAGCGTCGCGAGCGTCGGAGACCAGAGCAATTGAATAACACGTTCAAGTTCTCTCCTTGCAAATAATGTCTTTCCTTTTTTCTTTCTGTTTCAAGGCTCTACTGTTCAATTGATCGGGAAAGAGGCAGCCAACCAAACGTTACGGTCGAAGCATTTTATTACATTCTTTTAGGAAGCATCTCGTTTTCTATTATCAGTTGCGCTGCAATCGACGAGGGAAATTAATTGAGCCGCGCGAGCTAGAATCGAAGGATCGCCGATAGAAAATGGATACGTGGATGTAGACGTGGCGAAAAAGAGCGACGATAAAAGAGCACAGGCATCGCCGGGATAGCCGTCAACTTGATGATGATATACTGTTGCGATCTTGGTGACCCTCTTTCTCCTTGTTTTCCTCGTCCCCTCTCGCTCCGTGTGGGCGCAAGCAGGCACGAGCAAGCGCGCGCGGAATAAACGCGTGACACCGATGCAAACGGCAAGGGTGGTGGACTGGGGGGGAAAAAAAGGAAAAGGGGGATCCCCCGATTTCGTACCCCCCGATATTTCAGCTAGTTCGCCGTTGAAAGTGAACTCCCGATTCCAGTTCTGAGCGGGCCGGCCGAGTATTCGCATCGTTGCCCTTAGATTGTGCACCGTCGATCGGGACGAGCAGGAAAAAGAAAAAAAAAAAAAAAAAAAAAAAGAAAAAAAAGTTGAGAGAAAAGAGGAAAACCAAGGGAGGAGAGAACGTACAGCGGTAGCAGTTCTCGTCGTTCGTGTAGATCGCGCGTAGTAATCGATGATCGTAACTAACGCGTTGCTAGAACCACCAGGATCGAGAGAACCCCGTTAGCTCTTGATCGTCGAGTATCACTTTTGCCGGGCTCCTCCCCCCGTCGAATCGAAGTGTTACAGCCTATTTTTTTTTTTCCGGCTTCAAACTCTGAGAGAGAAAGAAAGAGAGAGAGAGAGAGAGAGGACTCTGAGATGGCGCCTGTTCGACCTAATCGAGCTGTTGCGTGAAGAGATCAAGAGTGTGCTGTGCAGTGCATAGTCTCCGATTCTGTCCCCCCTCCACCCCCTCCTACCGGAGGAAGTTCCGCTAACATCGGCTAACTATTCGTATCCTTTCGCGCGTATCCTTACCGTTTACCCGTTCGTATCTCGCTTAGCTAACCGGAAATTCGCAAGGAGGAAGAGACGGTGGCCACGGAATCGTTAAGTGTCGTGAGACCGATAATTGACCGCAGTTAGGTTTGTATTGAAATTAACATTCTTACCTCGCCCAATTGTCCTGTTGCCAAAAAAAAAAAAGGGAAGAAAGTAAAAAACGAGACGACGTTTGGGGACACGTGCGGACACGTGCGGAGCGTCATTGACCGAGAAAAAAAAAACGAACGTTCGAACGGCGGAAGAAAGAGCGGACGGAGGAGGAGAGATTTAGGCGTGAAACCGATTAATCCGTAAGGGAGGAATTCAAGATCATAGCAATGTCGGTTATGCGGAACAGCGCATTCTCGGCTAATTAGAATATAGCTGTTTTTTATGAGCGTGGAAGAGGAAGAGGGAGCCGGGCAATGGATGATCGGCCGCGTAGGGGCCAGGGAGGCTGAGCTTTGGGGGAACGCGCACGGGCTCGGATATTCATTACAGGGTTCCCCAGCCGGACATTCGTATTTAACCGGATCGCATCGATGTTACTTTTACGCCTTAATTTTCTTCTTATTGATTCTGACCTCAGAAACTGCGCCCGTCGACGCACCACGGACGGGGACAAACCGAGTTCTCCAGAAGAGTTCTTTCAGAATTCGCCGATACGTTGTTATAACGTTCCCTTTGTTAGAACGTCGTTCCTGCTGCATTCGTTTACTCTTGATTTTCGTTGAAATATTCAATAACTTTCTTCTACGCTACGATAGAAGAGAAGACGAAGTAGAATGTTAAATTCCAGTTCACAGGTCGGTGATTCGACTCGTTTCGCGCTGGTATCCTTGAATTTCGGCGTGTAATCGCTTCCCGTGAATTTTTTCCACGCGACGAGACGCAAATCGTGTCCGGTTTCCGGCGACGAGAAAAAAACTCGGTCAAACTCGTTCTCCGCAAAACTACGTCCTATCGGCAAGTCCTTGAAACGTCTAAGAGGCGCGAAGAACTAGACAGAATACCTCGTACAAAATTAACATACGACTGAATGTTAAAAAAAAAATTGTAATATGTTTCATTGTCGACAGAAACACTGTTATGTCTCCGTGGTAGTTCCGCGAGCCAGTGCAGGAATACGCGCGCGCGCGCGCGAAAGAGAGGAAGAAAGAGAGAGAGAGAGAGAGAGAGAGGTCATCGAAAAACGAGAGGGCAGAGTTTTTCACCGGTGAACAGAATACACATCGTACAAAATGACGGAAGCATCGAGGGAACCGGAACTCGCCGATCCCGAAAGCCCTGACAAAACCGCGTTGAATTTAACGTCCACGTCTAACAAAGGAAAGCCACTACCAGAACGTGGTACATGGAGCACCAAGCTAGATTTCATTTTGAGTGTGGTAACTTCTATCAATTGCAATGATCCGCTTGCTCGTTCGTTTCTCGTTAGTCGTAACGTATGTATTAATCTGTACGTTCAATCCAATTCGAAAAAAAGGTTGGCCTGGCTATTGGTCTGGGGAACGTCTGGAGATTTCCGTATCTCTGTTACAAGAACGGCGGCGGGGCATTTTTAATCCCATACTTCTTGACGCTGTTTCTCGCTGGGATTCCAATGTTTTTCATGGAGCTAGCCCTCGGTCAAATGCTCACCGTTGGCGGCCTCGGTGTCTTTAAAATAGCGCCGCTTTTCAAGGGTATCGGATACGCCGCCGCTGTCATGTCCTGTTGGATGAACGTTTATTACATTGTCATTCTCGCCTGGGCCATCTTCTACTTCTTTATGTCGATGCGCAGCGGTTGGTTTAATTGGACATGTTTCATTTCACGTTGTGTAGCTTGTAATTTGGAAAGTATATCGACTCTTCATGTATATTCAATCAGAATTGCCGTGGGGAAGCTGTAATAATTATTGGAACACGAAGAACTGCGTGAATCCCTACGACAGAGATTCGCTGTTGTGTTGGAATCAAGTTACCAAACACCACAATTACGTTAAAGTATGTTCCGTCAACGACGTCAATATGACAATCTCGGAGCTCACCGATCCGGTGAAAGAATTTTGGGAGTAAGTTCAATTAACAACGATATAAAATGCAATCCTTCGATCGTGTAAAATGCTATCTTTCCTTTTTTTCTTTTTCTTTTTTCTTTTTCTCTTTTCAGACGCCGAGCACTTCAGATCAGCGAAGGCGTGGAGTACGTGGGGAATATTCGTTGGGAGCTAGCTGGTACCCTCCTTCTGGTTTGGATCCTCTGCTACTTTTGCATTTGGAAAGGTGTCAAGTGGACTGGGAAGGTGGTGTACTTTACATCGTTGTTCCCTTATGTTCTGTTAACGATTCTTCTGATTCGTGGAATTACATTGCCCGGGGCCATGGAGGGCATCCGATTTTATATCAGTCCAAATCTTTCCAAACTGAAAGAATCCGAGGTAAACGCGATACGTTGCAACTGCGTTGCAACAATCATTTTTCTCTCGACGATCAAGAAACAAGACATTTTTGATGTTTAGTTCAATAACTTGTCGAATGCTTTGCAGGTATGGATAGACGCTGTTACTCAAATTTTCTTCTCGTACGGGCTAGGCTTGGGCACATTAGTGGCTCTCGGTAGTTACAACAAATTCACGAATAACGTTTACAAAGACGCGTTAATCGTTTGTTCGGTGAATTCGTCGACGAGCATGTTCGCCGGTTTCGTCATATTTTCGGTGGTTGGCTTCATGGCCCACGAGCAGCAAAAGCCTGTCGCAGAGGTCGCCGCTTCTGGTCCAGGATTGGCTTTCCTGGCTTATCCCTCTGCGGTTCTTCAGCTTCCTGGTGCGCCCCTTTGGTCTTGTCTCTTCTTCTTTATGCTCCTTCTCATAGGTTTAGACTCTCAGTTCTGCACCATGGAAGGATTTATCACTGCTATGGTGAGTAACAGTCTCCAATATTTGATAAACGATTTCCAATTTCTCACCTCTTGCTTATGTTTCAAATTTAAGGTGGACGAATGGCCGCAGTTGCTCCGCCGGCGCAAGGAACTGTTCATCGCGATTGTTTGCGTACTTTCCTACATCATTGGATTGTCTTGCATCTCGCAAGGTGGCATGTACGTCTTCCAAATCTTAGATTCGTACGCGGTGTCCGGATTCTGTCTTCTCTTCTTAATTTTCTTCGAGTGCATCTCGATAAGCTGGGCTTTCGGCGTCAACCGATTCTACGACGCTATAAGAGACATGATAGGGTATTATCCTCTCATGTGGTGGAAACTATGTTGGACTGTCACCACCCCCATGATTTGTGTCGTAAGTCTATCTTTGATTTCACTTGAGTGAAGAGCTTTCAATTTAAACAGAAGCACACCAACGTTCGTTGTCATCTTCAATCTCTGAAACTATCAACAGGGCGTTTTCATCTTCAATCTCGTACAATGGACACCTGTAAAATATTTAGACTATGAGTATCCATGGTGGTCGCACGTGCTTGGCTGGATAACGGCTTTATCCTCGATGCTTTGCATACCTGGTTATATGATTTACGCTTGGATGACAACACCGGGTGACAGGTCCACGGTAAAATCAAATAGACTTATTGTTCCTTCGAGATTTCACGAGTTGAAACGTTTTAACGATTCTTTATCGATCTTTCATTCTGATTGCATGATTCTGTTTAGAAATACAAGTTGTTAGTGCGGATAGAAGACGACGTGACAAGTCTACGAATGAAAATGGGTCAGCCGTCAGTCGAACTGACACCACTTTAACTGCCACGGATTCACTTTAATCCCAGAAGGGATTTTATTGTTTCAACACTTGATACTTTCTAATTGTCATTAATTTAAACGATCCAACGACAATGTGTTTGACGTCACTATCTCGGAGTAATTTTCTTTATAAAAATTACTTCCTCCCGTTCGTTCGAAAAGAAAAGGACTTCTGTTGTGTTCCTGTTTATCAAAGAAATTCGTATATTATTTAAATGAACTCCTTTTTTTTTTTTTTAAATCGTCTAGATGATAATTTGTTAGATTCTTATTGGAAGGAGGTTCGCATAAAATACGAGGCAACTAAAGTGTTCAGAATTGTATCTAGTTTCTAGCGTTAAGTACGTTTTAGCATAATTTAAAGTACACGAAATTTCTTAGCACACGAATAGTTCGTAAAAAGTGCATTTAGGATGCTGTTTTGTAATTCTTGAAATCGAAGATTCGAAGATTAGAGAAATTTCCAAGTACTTTATAAGTGTTCGAAATTCTGAAACTATTTGTTGTGTTAGCCTGGTTACAGATTTAGCTGCTAACTTATCTATTTTAACAATATCGGACGTGTACCATAAACAAAAGTTATTGCACATTTTGAATTTAATTACAAAGTACACATATCTACGCTGCCATAATTACTATATATTTTGCTGCTCAATTGACCGTTTGTTTAAAAGATATGTCAATTTCCCCGTGTTTCTGCAGAAAATGTATGTGCAAATTCTATTCTTAATAAAAATTGTAGATTTGCGTAGAAGAAATATGGTAGTAGATATCCATTATGAATAGAGAAACAGTAATTATTAATATATACTCAATTAAGCCGAGAGTTATTTAAAAATTGTTTTTACAAAATCCATAGTATATTTAGTTGAAAATTATTATAACTAGTTATTTTAATAATATCTATTGTATCTATTGTTATATACGTTCTACATATTTTCCTTTTAGCAAATACAACATGCAAAATAAGAATTTCATTCATATGAGGAGAGACAAATTAAGGGAAAAATCTGTATGGTAACATTTTTGGTAAATAAAGTTAAGTATTAAAAAGTTGTTTAGTTTTTGTTAGTATATATATTTTTTATATTGTCATTTCCAACAATATAAAAATTGTATTAAATATTTATTTGATGAAACATAAAATTACCCCTGCAATGCAAATAAAAAGAGCCATGAAATATATAAAATGTAGTAAGGGTATGTAACGACATACAAGATATATTTAAGTTTATATATATATATATATATATATCTTTTCCATTAATATTTAATAAGGTATATTTATATTAATATTTAGTATTTACATTATAATAATTGTAGTTTATAACACATTACTTTCATGGACGAAAAATAAGATTCTTTGAAACATCAAGATGGCAGTGCAAGTGTAATCTAACAGGTGTAAAATAATTAGACGTGGAATTCTTTTCAAGTAGTTTTTAAAAGTACAAAAGGAAGTGATGTTTTTATCGTGTATTTAAAAAAAACCAACCAACTGTTCGATAATATTAATTTTACGTGCTAACAAAGCAACTAACAAGTTAATTATTTTGGTAAATACGTTAAATAAATAACATGATAGAAAAGAATGAAGAAAATAGTGATAACGACAGTCATCTTGTCAGAATACGATTGATAGCTGACAAAAGAACATTTTTGGAGAAACAATTTCTCCAGGTAATTCTTTCTTAACAATTACGTATTTCTATAATAACTGTTTTGGGGTTATGATTTTCGAACTTCTTTTTCATTCAAATTATTATATATAATCGAATTATTTGGCACAGTGTATTTTACTACTTCAATCATAATTTTATGTTGTTTTATTCATAGCTTCATATTTCCCTTATACACAGAGTTTTATTTCTTTAACATATCAGTGATTTACAGAATTACGTTTAATTGTGTAAATATTTTAATTAAAATAGCATATTTAATTTTAAGGTTCAAGAAGAAATAAAAATATGCTTTGCACAATTGGCACAAACATTGTATGCTAGAGAAAAACAACTTCTACGACAATCAGAAGCAATTTATAGGCAGCAAGTATCTTTGGCATTGTCCAGTCAAGAAATCCTTCCTCCATCTATAGCGATATTAAATGACAGGCACACCTTGGAAGAACAAATAAAACAATTTGGAAGAATAGAGCTCATAGGATCTAATACAACAGCTGTAACTGATTTGGAACCTTATAAAATTGAGGAGTATCAAGACATAAATAAAGATCATGTCTGTTTTGATAAATCTATCAAGAATACAGGAATTATTCTTCCTAATACAAAAGTTGAATTTTCTTGTATGACAGAAGATGAAAACATAGATGATGTTTCTAACGAATTAAAGTCATCTAGTATAATAAATTTATCAGGAAACTCCAGTCATATTTCTGATTTCCAAGAGAAAGATTCTGAAAATGGTATTGATCATTCAAAAATAGACACAGAGTCACAAGAAAATGATTTTAATCATCAGACTACTGAAGATGTGAATGAACAAGAAATTGCAAAAAATTACAGGAACTCGAAAAGAAATATCATAGAAGAGCAACATAATTCTCACAGACATACAGAGCAAGTCCAACAATGGTTAGATCAAATACTTTTAGAGACAGAAATAGAACCAACTATTCACGAAGTGGAAAAATTACCTGAAATATCAGATGCTTATGTTTGTACCAAGTTCCACTTAGAAACTTGAAAGTTGTATTTAATAACTTGCTCAGCCCACCGTTTTTACAATTTATCTTTAATTTTTCATAAGATAGGGAACCTCAATTTGGGAACAATTTTTTATTGTGTTTGAATCATTTGTATTTCACTTTATTTATTTATATATACTAATAATAATTAATTACAAAATGTTTTTTTTTAATAGTTTTTCAAGATTAATAATATTAATAAATAAGTTTGTATTTTAATTAATACTGAGGAGCTGCTAATCATAAATTGATATTAAAATAATTTTTTATGTTAATTAATATTATTTATTAATTTATAACTAATATTTATGGTTATAATTTATATTCCATATTATGTACCAATGATTAAACATTTTATTAGTTTATTTTATAATATAAATCTTGTTTTTCTTTTCCATAAAGAATTTAAGCAAAAAATATCAATATTTTCAGTTCAAAAATAATTGATAAAAAATAAAATCAGTTTCATAGTTCTATGTATACTCCTTAACTTTTTATTACTTAATACACATTATACCTCATGCAACAGTTCGTGCTTTTATATACATCTACAAAATATTTGTTTAGTAAATATTAATAAATGCAATTTGAATTTTAAATATATTAAAAATATGTGTTAATAAAAAGTATGTTTGTATATGTGTGATTAAAATTTCATGTAATTCTATCTCTGTTTTATTAAAGTTATTTGTACAGTAATGTAGTTGTATTGCTTTTGAATTTACTTGTAACGAACCACTGGGTAACTTAATTTGATTATTGACAGTTAGTAGAAAAAATAATTGAGCACCTTTGTATAGTTTATTAATTACTAAATAAACAAATAAATACAGATAACCACCACCTTTTGTATGTACAGACGCCAGCGTAGTAGTGTCAATCGGGATTTTATGTCCAGCATCGGGATCATCTTCTTCAGGAACCGATTTTTTAACAAAAAATTTGCGACTAGGGTCGAATTTGGGTCATAAGAGAGAAAATGGATTGTGAATATACTTCCCTTGGAACCTCAATATGATAAATTTAATCCATCATTTTAACGATACTTGGTAGAAGACCCAATCTTCGAAGAAAGAAGGTACAAAAGCACTATCTTTGGTAAAAGTTACGGGTACACAGAGCTGTGAAAGAACTTGTTCGTACATTTCTAGAGACTGTGGACAAGATGCTCCATTTCCCTAAAGAATAAAATAAACGATTATTTTTATGAGTAAATGTCAATCGATAAAATATTATAAAAATTCAAATTATTTAATATTTTTATACGTACATGAGTCATGTATTTCCCTGTAGATTTCAGAACTCTCATTGAAGAGTTTAAAATCAGTCTAATAAAATCCCATGCATCCCCATGTGGAGTTGGGCTAATCGGTATGTCTGTAAGGTCACCGAAAACATAATCAAATTGTCGACCTTCTTCAATCATGTGTGCTAGAGTTTTTGCACAATCTCCAACAATAATCTACAAGTTTTCAGTCTTTCATAAAAAATTCTAGTAATTTTACTTGTTACTGCGAAAATGAATCTTCTATTCACAAAATTTACCTCATAATTGTCTCCCTTTCTTTTATCCAAACAATTTCCACATATGCTTCTCATATGTTGACTACAGGCTTTTATTACAACATCATCAATCTAGGAAAAGAAAATTAATTTTTGTTTCTGCAAAACAATTTGTATTTTTTAATTTTTGTTTGGCATACCTCTAACATGGTTACAAATTTTGGTTTCTCCTTAAGCAATTCCCAAAGTAAGCCACCATCTCCTCCTCCTAAAATAACTATTTCTTTCCCCGTGTAATTTTCTTTTCCACGTTGCATCAAAGTTTCTGTATAAATCAGATCTGCTTCAGATATATCTAAAAATTGCAAAATTTAATTTCAAAGATACTCCGATTTTGAATATAATTTATTAATTTGTTCTTCTTACTTTGTAATTCATCAAGAACCAACAGATTTCCCAATGATTTCGAATGAACAATTTGCACTTTTTGATAGGGAGAGCGTGCTTCAAAAACCAGTTTATCAATGTCATATTCAAGTAGTCTATCATCTTAAAAAAAAGAAACAATTTTATTATTATATCGGAAATTTACAAAATTTAAATAATTGCATCAGAAAGCAGTTAATAGATGCATGCAAAGCTTAAGTCTTGTAGAAAAATAAACTTTCAATTATTAAAACTAAAATTAAGAAGAATGAAAGTACTGAATATTTAGGAGTTTTATATATGGATTACTACATCTATCATAATATTTATGCCTATAATTGATTTCATATGTGTTTGATGTAGCATGTAAGAGTAATAAACAATACTATTCACTCAACATATTTATAAAAATAATAAATCCCACAGAGATCTTACAATCATTCAAGATTACGATATTGATTTTTTATCATTTTTAATATTTGCCGCTATTTTCAAGCAACTTATTACATTTAGATATATATCGTAACAAGAAAATTGATCAAGCAAACAAAATAATGGTGTTTAATTATTACTGAAAAAGAGAATAAAATATGATATATATATATATATATATATATGAAAATAAATGTTGTCAACAAATGAAATAAAATTTGAATAATAATCGATATTTCTCCCGCGCGATAAATAATCAGAGAAGAACAAGTATAAAAAAAGTAAGTTACACAGAGAGAGAGAGAGAGAGAGAAAGAGAGAGTCGAGGAAATGAATCGAAAGCAATTTTCGTTAACGGCGTATGATGAAATGAAAAAATCCTGCGGATATAATGCTCCGCTTCATACCGTAAACAGAATAATAAATAAAAAACTCACCGGCGGTAGGAAAGTATCTCTCAAAAGGTCCGCCGCGTTTAATCGGTGTAAGCGAGTGCGAACGCGTAGAGGCTACTGCCGCCTGCAACGTCGTCTCCAATTCTCTGGCCAACTAAAGGTGGCCGCGACAAGCGAACCGACGAATAAAAAAAAACAGAAACTATCTTGTTAAACCAATCGTAATAACCCTTTTTTTTTTTTTTTTTTTTTTTTTTTTTGTTTTGAACACTGGTACAATAATCATTCGATTGCATGTCGATTTCATGTCCAAGTTTTTGATATCTGGTCGTATTTTATAGCTTTATTTGAGTTATTTTCAAGTTGTGAAATACAGTGTAATTTTATTTTTATCCAACGGAAGTTACTTTTATTGACTTTGGAACATTCGATCGGGGACACTTCAGTTTGGAGTTTCTCTCAACCTGTTGAGTACCTCGAGGGCATAGCTGTGCTAATTGAATAATTGTGCATCGTCATTCAATTTCATAATTTAATTACATTGTATTTCAATAGCACAAGTTGCGATTGTGTTACATAATTCAAACTTTCTAAATTAATTTAATTACTAATTGCTGTAACCATCGGTATAACTGAATTACGATGTACTTGAACTACAATGTAATTGAAGCGCAATAAATTACTTAGACTCTCGAAATGCAATTATTTCTCTTTTATATATTTGTTCCTGTTCCATCATTGTACTGCGTATTCTTCGTTTCCCGTTTATTACACAACTCAATATTATGTTGTCATATTATGTCATTTTACCTATTTTATTCTTTCTGTTTCTCGTTCATTCATGACTCAGTTATCACTGTTTTCTAAGTTATAATAGTGTTCGTCTGTTCATGAATATTCTATTCAGCAGATGTTCTTTTCTCACAATTAATGTGAAAAGTATAGTAGTATAGACAGTTTGAGTCTGCATTTGTAGTTTCCAACTACAAAACATGATGAGAGATGTGGATGGAAAATTTTTCAAACATATCCTCCCGAAAAAAGTGATTCAACATCGAGAAAGATTGTTGCTCAGTGTACTAAATAGATTTCCAACACAATTAAAGTCAAAGGTTTCCTTAAAATTTCATTATTCTTAAATTTCGCTCTCTCGCATCTACTTTCTTTTTAAATGCTAATCCCGATTCAAGTAAATTGCATTTAGTCATTGTAACCCGACTGTAAAAGCGAATTAAATTTAATTGAATGAGAGACCTGAAGCACGAATCACAATTGTAATTTAATCAAATGAAAAGAAACAACTGAATTACGAATGACAATACAATGAAACACATTTAATGTAATTATACATTACAATTCATGAAGTGATCCAATTGTAATTTTGCAAAACTCTGCTCGAGGATTATCAAGATTTCCCGACCGAACGAATTAATTGCAATTCGAAGAAAATTGTTGTCGAGTAGTTACACAACCGCTCCAACTGCACCGCAGAGATTCTCGCGGCTTACGAACAGCAGAATATGCACCATTAGTGTCACACGTCAAAAGTTACGCTAACGCGAAATACTTTCACGAGCGTGAAACCTTTATAAAACCTCCAAGCACCTTCTCGCAGCGTTTCTTCGTGATCAGCGTTTATTGGAGCAGTTTTCGACATCTTCCCACGAAGAAACGAACGTTTGTAAATCAGAGCAGAGACCCATAATTAAGCCACTCCGGTCCCCCCCTCTTTCCCCTCCAGGATTTTTAATGGCGTCGTGCGCGTGTACACTTAGAGGGAACGTTCCGCTCGAGGCAGCGAAGGATCATATTAGAGTATCGAATGAAGGAAAAGCGTATCACGATCCAGCATTAAGCTGTGACACGTGGGTGGTTCGCGTAAGTATGCAGCGTTTCTCACGCGGCTCCAGTGGCAGTGATGGCCCTCCCGCGTCCCCCGGCCACGACTTCATACACACGACAATCATGCATCCACTTCACAGTGGTGTATGCACCGCGCACAATGCCGTTCTTTGTGCATTACGATCGCTTTAATCCGCCTCGAGCCTCGTTCCGCCGTGCTGGCTTTCATGCCTCTCTCTCTCTCTCTCTCTCTCTCTCTCTCTCTCTCTCTCTCTCTTTCTCTTTCTCTCCCTCTCTCCCCCGTTCTCGATTGACAAACGAAAATCCAGCAACCACACGCCCGACACATTCTATTCTCCTTGAAACTACAGGCCAAGAAATTAAACCGTCCAGACGGTATTCAAACTCTTCCTTTGCCCGTTAGGTTAGCCAAAGAGTAACTGCGGTTCCTTTGCGCATTGCAGATGAAAGGCGAACTTTTCGCGAGAAACAAAAATTTTATATTCGATTATCTTTTGCTACGTTTCAGTCGATTTCAAGGTTCTTACCTTTTTCGACGCGAAAGAACGATTTGCTACCATCGAATCAACAGTAAATCAATTTTGACACTGTCGTTAAAAGGGCAATTATTTTTTGGCCAACCTAGTAATTGAAGTTCTTCGAGTACCAGTGAATAGAACAGATTCGAAGAATGTTTGTTGAATTCAAAGAAGGTACGAAGATGTATTAGCTGCTTTATAAGTTTACCTCTTGCATGAACTTTTCGCGAGAAATAAAAATTTTATATTCGATTATCTTTTGCTACGTTTCAGTCGATTTCAAGGTTCTTACCTTTTTCGACGCGAAAGAACGATTTGATACCATCGAATCAACAGTAAATCAATTTTGACACTGTCGTTAAAAGGGCAATTATTTTTTGGCCAACCTAGTAATTGAAGTTCTTCGAGTACCAGTGAATAGAACAGATTCGAAGAATGTTTTGTTGAATTAAAAGAAGGTACGAAGATGTATTAGCTGCTTTATAAGTTTACCTCTTGCATGAACTTTTCGCGAGAAACAAAAATTTTATATTCGATTGTCTTTTGCTACGTTTCAGTCGATTTCAAGGTTCTTACATTTTTCGACGCGAAAGAACGGTTTGATACCATCGAATCAAGAGTAAACCAATTTTGACACTGTCGTTAAAAGGACAATTATTTTTTGGCCAACCTAGTAATTGAAGTTCTTCGAGTACCAGTGAATAGAACAGATTCGAAGAATGTTTTGTTGAATTAAAAGAAGGTACGAAGATGTATTAGCTGCTTTATAAGTTTACCTCTTGCATGAACTTTTCGCGAGAAACAAAAATTTTATATTCGATTGTCTTTTGCTACGTTTCAGTCGATTTCAAGGTTCTTACATTTTTCGACGCGAAAGAACGGTTTGATACCATCGAATCAAGAGTAAACCAATTTTGACACTGTCGTTAAAAGGACAATTATTTTTTGGCCAACCTAGTAATTGAAGTTCTTCGAGTACCAGTGAATAGAACAGATTCGAAGAATGTTTTGTTGAATTAAAAGAAGGTACGAAGATGTATTAGCTGCTTTATAAGTTTACCTCTTACCTCTTCCTGCCGACTTTTTATTTTTGTAATTCAGAATTCTCGACGCTCGAGCACAACATGTGACACGGTCAGCTGGACCAGATTCGTAAATGACACGATCCACTTACGGTAATTTCAATAGAGATACTTGAACCTGTCCTGTCTTTCGTGACTATTCCTGTGTAGTTGAACATTATCTGCTAAATAATAGTAAGAGGATATTTCTCGGCAAAGACACACCGTCGTCGAAGGGACTAGTCGAGGAGATGGTGAGCAAAAGCATTGGTTCGATGCCTATCGGATGGCATCGGTTCGCGTCGTCCTCCTCCGCTCGGATCCGTATTTATTGAATTTACGAGCTGTTTTCATGCACGATAATGATACGTTCATAGCCTCACGGAACAGTTAGTCACGCGTTTCCCTGAACCGTCGATCGACTCGATAAGCCGAACCGATTTTTCCGCGGCCGCGACTTCGTGATCGGACGAAGGGACACGCGGCCTAATTGGATGGTATGAGCAATAGTGTCAAGGCGCATGCAACAGACGGAACAGCGAGTAATTTAAGCCCGTTAAAAGCCTCTTAAATATAGAGAGAAAACTATAATTTATAGTGTATTTAATAAGAACGTGGACGCCGTTTTCTCTGGAAAAACATATTCTTTTTATAAAAAATTTTGCACAGATCGAAAGTAAAATATTTGACTGAGGAAGAAGATATTTTCGTATTCTCGCGGGTAAATATTGTTAGCAGGAAGTATGAGAAGATATTTGAAAAACACATTATATGCGCTTTTCTAAGAGGTTATGTTTTCCTGTGTGTTTTATATTCTATTCAGTATTTTATATTATATTATTTCCTATATTTTACATGCGTTTCAGATTATTTCTCTGGAGGTTAGGTTCCTTATATTTTATATATATTTTAGGTTATTTTTTTAGAAATTATGTTTTCCTGTGTGTTTTATATTATATTCAGTATTTTATATTATATTATTTCCTATTATATTATTATATTATTTTTTTCAAAGTTTATGTCTTCCCGCGTGTTTTACATTACATATTCAGTATTTTACATTACATTACTTTCCCACATTTCGTATTATATTCAGTAATTTCGATTTTCGCGAAATCTTCTACAAAAAGAATATTTTCTTCTGAGAAATCGGCGCCCGTGTTCTTATTAAACACGCTGTACGTCGAAATTTAACGAAGAGCTCGCACGCTCGTGTGAAACGTCGCGTTAGATCGTTAATTCCTAGCATGATCGACAACCGAGAGACAAATCAAAGAACCACCTGTTTGAACGTTTACGATCCATAACTACAGGCCTTCGCAGTCAAACGTCGATCGTTTGACAAGACCGTTTAACCAGCCTTCGGGAGGAAGCGCGCAACTGAAGCGAACCAGGAAGCCACGCGACGCAAACGCCGCGCGTCTAACGTTCGCAAACACGGGGACCACAAACGTAGTAGCGGCGTTCTTCACCGCTTCACCGTTTTCATAGAAAATCCTCTTGCAGGAAGCGTTTGCCGAGTCGCTCTCAATTAACCTCGGAGGGGCAAACGAGTCACCGTAAACGTGACACGTAGATTTACAATTCGATCGTAACTGTCTGCCACCGCTATGCCACTGCCCACTCTCCTAGAAGAAAGTCACGCATTAGCGCGGCATTGTGAGCGTGGATGTCGCCGGGGTGAAACAGCGTGTTTCGTATCGCGACAGGGCATCGTACGTGTAGCTAAAACCGCAACGACGCGTGCTACCTGGGTGGTC